GAGCAATAGCTTGAGAGGAAATCTCAAAATGGTGTTACCAGGTATTATTGCGTGGAACCTATGGAAAATGTATAATGCCGCGATCTATAGTGACGATAGACCCTCCATAGCTACCGCGCACAACCAAATCAAGAAGATGATCCAAGGCTGGTGCTGGATTCACAGGAAGAAGAGTTGGGCATTAAAGGATCTGGAACTATTTGACCTAGGGTTTCAAACTATCTGTTTGAGCGGGAGAAACCTTCAGTCCTACCATGGGGGATGAGTTGCAGCTCGAGTACACATTGGGTAACATATTAAGAGGAAGAGGCTACATGGTTTCTGCTCAACGGGGAAAAGGCACACAGGTGAATCTTCAAAGGAGGCGCGGGAGACTTTAGGCACCCTGATTTTTATTTTTATTTATGAATTTCTTTATGTGGGTTATTAATGTAAATTTGCTCGGTGGTCCCTTGTAACTTTCGGGGTTCTGGTCTAGTCCCCCCCGAACGTGGTGATAGTTTTTAATAAATTTTGGTAAGGGTTCCCTCGTCCTTACCCCACTGATTTTGGTGGAACGCTACCGGGATTTAATATATATATATATATATATATATATATATATATATATATATATATAATAAAATTTGTTTTGTCAAAATATAATTATCATATAATTAAAATGACATAAACAAAATATAATTTTAAAATACATATGTATTTTCGAAATACATATATATGTATAAAATTATCACAACTATATATTTAATATTACTCCCACTAGTGTAGTATACTACTCCCTTACAAGTCCTAAGTGTGTGACCCTTTAGATATCCATAACACTGACAATGATATTAATATATATTAATACCATAGATAATAAGCGGTATCTAGCAACACATTATTATCCCCAGATTATGAAAAAGACGTTCATCTCATCAATACCTTCTACGACACAAGACGTTCTATAACTATTATCCTTGTGTCCTAAATGACATGATTTAACACAAGGCATGGGATGTGTATCCTTGTATAGTTAAATCAGCTGTTACTGAATCTCAAGTAGACTAGCAGGGATATTTATCTGTGTCTAAATAGCGACATATCTGGGCATGGCCATGCACTTTCCCTAGTCCTACTATTCAGTGGGCCCATTGACATTATACTTCTATACAGTAGAAGGGACAGATCCTGTATCTGTTATTCACATCTCTAAATATGCTTAGCGGCATACCCAACACATAAATGTATGTCTACCAGTATTTTAGATAGCATTAGTTATGAATCAAAGCATACGGCCCCACATATCAGAGAATGTAATAACTTCAAGTCTGAGGATAGTTATAGCAAGGTCGATTTGAGAATACTGATAAACACATTGTTGTAGATCCATGCAGTATTCTCAAGATGGGTCAATCCAGTCACATATTATCGATATAATATGCACCTACGTAGAGATTAAGATATCACAATACCTATAGTCTATGAGACGCAACTATCTCATCTCGTACGTACTAGTCTTGATACGTTATGACGTCTGTATTATCATAAAGTGCGATTAGGGATATTCTAGACATAGCCTTCGTCAAGAAGTAACAGTCTCATAATCAGAACATCGTAGTCCTCATCTATGTTACTGAAGCGCTATCGTCTATGGACTGAAGCTATGTTATGTTACACGAGATATAAAACATACTTCAAGGCATTTCATTCATGATAAAGTGTACAGTTACATAGGTATTTGATTGCCGCTAGGGCACCTAAATACAACAATCTCCCACTTGCCCTAAGGCCAATCAAGCATTTCTCGAATGCCCATGGACCACGTATGACTCTCGTGTTTAGGCTTTCCCAAAGCCTTTGTTAACGGATCCACGATATTGTCATCTGTACCTATCTTGCAAATCTCAACGTCCCCACGTGCAACGATTTCTCGTATGATGTGATAACGTCTAACGATGTGTTTGGTCTTCTGATGAGACCGAGGTTCTTTCGCTTGTACAATTGCCCCATTGTTGTCGCAAAACAACGGTATAGGGTTCTTGATGCTAGGAACCACTCCAAGCTCAGTAATAAAATTCTTGAGCCACACACCTTCCTTGGCTGCCTCGGCTGCAGCCATATACTCTGCTTCTGTAGTGGAATCAGCGGTAGTATCTTGCTTGTAACTCTTCCAGGTAACAGCTCCGCCATTCAAACAAAACACATACCCTGCCTGCGACTTGAAGTCGTCTCTATTAGTTTGGAAGCTGGCATCAGTATATCCAACAATACTGAGCTCTTCTTTTCCGCCATATACCAGGAAGGCATCCTTAGTCCTACGAAAGTACTTAAGGATGTTTTTCACAGCTGTCCAATGGCTTTCTCCAGGGTTGGACTGGTATCTACTCGTGACACTCAGAGCAAAGGCGACATCAGGTCTCGTACATACCATCGCATACATGATGGATCCAATGGCCGACGCATAAGGAACATTTCTCATGCGTTCTACTTCCTCCGGAGTGGAAGCACCCTGAGTCTTGGAAAGACTCGTGCCTTGGACCATAGGCAAACTTCCTCGTTTCGACTCAGACATGCTGAATCTAGCGAGGACCTTGTCTATGTATGTACTTTGACTGAGACCTAACAGCTTCCGTGATCTATCCCTATAGATCCTTATGCCAAGTGCATAACTGGCATCTCCCAAGTCCTTCATAGAGAAACTCTTACTCAACCACGTTTTGACGGTGGTTAAAGTAGGAATATCGTTTCCTATGAG